AATGCACGTCAGTGGTTGACGTGGACGATGAGGTTGGTTTGTGGGATCCCTGTGGTAGTCCAGTGCTTTTTCAATYTGATTAGAGCACAAGTCCTCAGTGTTCACGATTTCTGGGATTATTTTCTTTTGCAAAATGTCTTCTGAAATTTGATCGAAACGAACTTCTTGGAAGACCCATTCTGCGACATCGCGTCTGAAATAAAAGAGGAAATTTATGAAGAAGGCACCTCAGGATAGAATAGACTCGCAATAGAATTGATTTATCCATGATTATTTACTAATCTCAAAATTCCAGTGCAGGGGGAGTTCATATCTATTACTGGCTATTTCCAATGTTTTCTATCCTAGGAACGAGGCTATTCCCTCTTGTAGTGGAATTTCAAGAATGGGCAATATTGTTCATAAGAACAGAACAGAGACTATATTTTGCATCTTGAAATCACGTATAAGGAAATGGCATAATCACATAATAATAGGAATCTCAGGTACTGGTCCTAATGAATAACTAAGAAGGAGGAGAGAAGATCGACTAAGGCTTTCTCCTTTAACTCAGATTGAGATTCCTCAAAAGTTCTCCTGATTTGTATTCATTTTTATGATTGTACAATGTTTTCTAACATCAACACAGTCATGGTGTTGGATGACATTACTAATATAATACCATAATTTAACGTTTTTAAAATTATTTATTATATATTTAAATGGGCTTCCTGTGGAAGTTAATGTCTTCAATTTCCTTCTTTTTCATAGGGAGCCCAAGCTAGTGTTTCAAGACCCTACCTGAGGAAGCCTGAGATCATGCTTCTATTCATCATCCCCTATACACGAAATGTGTCAATCAGGTACAATTTTATCACCTTTTTACTGGTTCGTGCCTTAGGCAGCCCAACCAATGCTTGCGAGACTTCATGTTTTAAAAATATTTAAAATATAATTATTAGAATGTATTAGAATGGCCTGCGCGATTGCGGTTCTAGGGGAGGGGGGAGCCACTAATCAGGCTACTATTAGATAGATAGATAGTTTTATTAATAAATCAACATTGCAGTCAAAAGACTGAATTGCGTGATATTTACAAGTGATATTAAAATATGGATAAAATATATAAATAGTAATAAAATGTCAGAAAATCTTAAAATTATGCTAGGATATAATGGCTTTAACAGTTTTTATGGTACGTCATTATGCTTGGTTTGCCATAGAGTAAATAAACGACCGTCTGAAACGTTCTGTATGGGAACGAGGCAAAGCATATGGCCTTTGACACCTAAGGTTGTAGTGAGATTGATTTCTTGGAGGAAGCAGATGGAACAACTTATGTTCAGGATTTGTAGCAATGGACTTAAATAACTGGCTACAAAGTTCGTTTCGTCTATCTTTAAGAGTTGACAGGTCGACACTGGCGAGACAGTCCTGATATGACTTGTTAGGTGATACTATAGAAAGCACTCTTTTTTGGACTCTTTCGATGTCGTCGCTGAGATAAGCGGGGAGTGCGTGATGGAAGGCGGGGGCTCAGTATTCCAGCACAGGTCTGATAGTGGAGCAATAAAAGTTAACAATGTCATTAGCTGGGACACGAACCCTCTTTAGAAGAACTATGAAATAGAGGCGCTTGTTGGCCTTCTTTATACATTCTGCAATGTGGTCGTTCCATTTCAAGTCCTTAGAAATTGTAGCGCCTAGTATCTTGGCACGGTCAACAACAGGAAGCTCTTTTACTTCTACTTCGAGAGGAGAAAAGTTGTGCGAGTTCTTCTTAAAGTCAATAATTAACTCCTTACATTTGTCAGCATTTAGCTGCATCCGCTGTGACTGAGACCAGTCTTCTACAGTGGTAACTGCCAGTTGTACATCACCCAAGGAGTCACGAGGTATGACATGAGAGATAGTGGTATCGTCCACATACTTCCATGTAAGCGCATCGATCTTAAGATCATTGATCATGAGTAAGAACAACCAAGGACCCAACTTGGTCCCCTGTGGTACCCCGGCAGGGACTGGACCCCACTCAGAGAGGCAGTCAGCAGATAGCTTGACGCGTTGTTGGCGATGGGTCAAGAAGTCAGTCACCCAAGCTAAAGCACTGTGCGGTATATCAAGGCCTTTGATCTTAGTGACAAGTATGTTGTGATCTATGAGATCGAAGGCCTTGCGGTAATCAAATAACACGATCCTGATTGCTGCTCCAGTACCGTCAGTGGCTTGTAACCAGTGGTGAAGCATCGAGATCAAGGCGTACAGGGTGGAAGATTTTGGAATGCCACCAAATTGATCTGGATCAATTTTCTTGAGTACTGCGGGACCAACATAGGTCGCTACGACAAAGTCCTCC